AAAAAGTTTCAAAAATCCAATAGATTTCGTTCCACTTCACAATTGTGTCCCACTTGTTGGTGATTCTTCACATAAAATAGAAAATTTATATCTTTATGTTTGAAGCCTGAAATGTGGCAAAAGGTTGAAAAGTTCAAGGGGGCCGAATACTTTCGCAAGGCACTGTATTTGGTAAAATATAAAACAATCACTGTTATAGGCTTACTTTATACAGCACAACAACAAAATATTTTCCTGATCATTAAAACCTGTACCATTTCTTTAAAAATAATAAAAAACATGCCTCATAGATAAACTTACTGTATTAGATGCTTTCTCTAATGTTTTCATAGCAATCACACCAAGCCTTAAGATTCATTAAGAGAGTTTCTTTACACTGAGATCAAAAAACACCTTGGGACAATATGTGATAGGTGTAAGTTCCCAGCAACAATTAGATATTTAATCTTACTCAGGGTGAGAGAGTTATTTTCAGTGATGGATAAACTGGAAAAAGAAACCAGTTTGTTCATTGGAAGGCAAATTGCATTAAAAGCAGTTCAGTGTGCAGTGCTGCTGGTATCTTCTTTGACTTCTCTTAGACTTAACAAGCTTTCTATGGACAGAAGTCAAATATGTTTAAGCAAAATGCCCCTTTTGTGCAATTTTGTTTAATGCTTAAGAAAGGTACTTGCCTGGTTGTGGTTAAGAATTACATTCAAATCCTGAATAGTCTGTAACAGCATATTCCTCTCTTCCTGCAACTTCTCAATCTCTCCTTCAAGCACAGTGTTTTTCAGTTCACCTTGCTTCAATGATAAAATACTGTATAAATACAACTGTATAAAATAAATACCCCAAAGTCCATGATTTAACAACGAATAACAGAAGAGTAGAATATCATGGCGTGTACTCCTTATTACTTTCTGCTTGTATTACTTAAATCACAGCTTTTGCTTTATCATTACAAGTTTTACATACTAAAAGTAACAATTCTTATTCAGGCAGACACACTGAACTAATTTGCGGGCAATCAGTCATATTACACTATTTCAGGTGCTAAAGTACTTTGTTTATAGTATACTTACTGGCAAAACAAGAACTCCTGTCCAGTAACAGGCATTCTATTGAATTATAAAATTTGTTAGAAAAAACTACAAACATTTGTTTTAACCACAGAATTGAAAGCAGCTGGGTATGGAATTAAGATTACCTTAATGTGCAGTTCTGTGAATGAATCATCATTACTCATGAAAGGGGTCTGTGATGGAGTCACAAAAGGTGGGGAAGAAAAATCACATGGCTGGAAATTCTGTAAAGAAAGAAAATATTAATTACTATTGTACTGCATTCATGATGTCCGCAGCTTTCAATCCATCCATCTTAATCTCTGAATTGAACAATATTTAATGGTAAATATTCATCGTAAGGCTGCAATAGGAATTGACTGGAGATAGACCAACACTCTGTATATCTGGTCTGCAGGATGGCAGTCTGCTTTGTTCCCTTTACTTATTTAGCTTTACAGACCAAAGATCATATCTATGCCACCAAAGTTCAAAGTTCAGGACCTGAAGAGTCCTGCCACAACAAACCTCATACATTCATTAACATACTGTAGAGCATATTATTTAACACAGAGACCCGATCCTCAATGATGCTTAGCTCAAGGATAGTTCTATATTTTACTGAAGCAAGTTACAGTTACACCCATTTTCTGTATACACCTGGGAGTATACTGGCACAATAAGGGTGAAGTAACTTGTTCAAGGGTACAAAAACAATGTCGTACCTGGGATTGGAACCCACAGGTGAGTCCTACTACCCTACCTACTACTCCTACTATTCATTATTGTATAAACAATCAAAAGTGTAAAAAAAACTCAACTTTTTGGTGACACTAAAAGGCTGCTACAAAGCCCCTGATTAACTGCACATTGTAGCAGTCCACCACTCCATTAAGCAGGAAACAATCAGAAATATTAGGTAGGGATGCACCGATATGGAATTTCTGGGCTGATAATGATTACTGATAATTAACTGCTTGTTGCGGCTGAGACAGACACCGATGATGTTGTGGTGAAAACATCATACAGAGCCAGCAAGGCAACATCAGACAAGTCGCGGCGGCTTGGGAGAGTATAATGGGGTTCCAAATGCTCAATTAGTTGACGGATCCTTGATCCTCCACAATCGAAAAGTGTTGGTCATCAAGTGCCATAAACTCCATGATTTTGTCTGTGATTGCTTTAGCCTTCAGACTGTCCTTGGCAAATTTTCTGCAATTTTCAAATGCCTGCTGGATAGGTGTCGCTGCACTTGCTACTGTTTTTGTTTTCTAGTTAATGCTAGCTGCCTCATATTCTTTAAATACATCATTGGAATGACGGTTTTTCAAATGAGTAATTAGATCAGTGGTATTGGAATTCTTTACTCTGTTTCTTCCTCGCTGGACTTCGGCTGAACATTGCAAATTGTTGTCCTCTGCTGAAAACGTTCCACACCGCCGACATTTTCACTCTGCCGCAACTGTACTGTACCCAGTCTAATGCGTCAGTGTGTACACATAAAAAAACTAGTTGCACAAACAGAAATAGGGCTCATTATCTGTTGTAATTATCAGCTGTAATTCCAATATCGGAACGATAATAATAATTAAAGTTTCCTATTTATTGGAGAATAATATATCTGCCTCCGATGCATCATGCACCCATAATATTAGACTTTAATTCTGCACGGCCTTAGAATAATCATGAATAATAATTATAATAATCATGAATCTTTAAAAAGCCTGGCAGTTTATTATTGCAATAGAGAAATGAAAAATAGCCTCAAACAATGGAAACCCCTTATTTGACAACAAAGATGCCAGATGCATTTGAGAACATTAGCAAGTCCATGCCAATTTAAAAAGTTCAAACATTATTTTTACCACTTGTTAAGACCGAAGGTCAGCAATTTGCAAGCATTTACAGTTGATTAATGATGGCATCAAGATGAGGTCTCTATCTGATGTATTGATACCACAAGTAGAAAAACAACATTATGCAAAACCAAAAAATCATTTGTGCACACACAGTATACGTCTGGGGAACAAGCCACGAATGAACAGAGCTCCCTGCTTTGATAATGAGGCTATAATATCTAAAGCACATGATTGTAAAAAAAAAAGACAGCATAAGCATATAAACAACAGCTTGTACAAACCTTTTGATTTTAGCTCAATGTGTAAGTATATTACGGTTTTTAACCCTATTAGTGAGAAATTTCTAAGAATTCTAATGTACTATTTCCAAAAGGACAAACAAGTGCCTGTCCATGACTGTAAACACAATGCACTGTATACTGTTTTTACAAGACGCATCCTCCTCAGTGGGGTTAAAGATATTATATTACTACTACTACACTACTAGGATTCTTCATGTGATCAAGATGTTTGTTAAACCAACACAATGCATAGAACCGTAACTGCAGTTGTTCTACAGAGTTCACTTACAGTATCTGAAGTAGTTTAGTAATATATTGATTTAAAATGGACATGAAAAGAACAGCCTGCAGCTCAAGGTGTATATCTTAGTGCTGTAGCCTCACAGGGATTAATTCCAGAAGGGGGTACTGTAGAACATCACACCAGCTTGAAAATACAGAGACATGCAATTACCTGCAGAGGACTAATAGGTGGAGGTGGAGCTTTTCTTTTTTTGGGAGTTGTGCCTCTTTCCTCATTTAACCTAGTGACTTGATCATGCTGAAATTTAGTGACGATAAAAAAAAAAATCCAGGAACGTTTAGTTTGGTTAGTACAAAGATGAAACTCAAGAACATTTTTTGCAATGATTTCGAAGGTGTAATTTAATTCCTTTTTTAACATTCACAAGTTAGGGTATAGAACATGCACTGCAAAGTGGAGGTGTAGTTAAGTATACAGTAAGCAGACTAATGGCAAAGTCAGAGCTAAGGAAGAAAGGATGCTTTAGAAAATGCTGAAATTCTTATTATTTGGTGAAAACCAAAAACCGATACAGTGACTCACTGCATATATGGCATAGTTTTATCTACAGTATCTCAAAAACCTCTTCAATTGAGGTTAATTTAATCGTTTTATTTTAAACATGTTTCTATAAAAAAACAAATAGCTCCCTCTAGGACACTAAAGCATGCCTTAGCATTCCATTGGTCCTTTCACACAATTTAGTGAAAAACTTGTCTCCCACTACAGCTGTGATCTTATTTATTTAGTTGCAACCCAAACTAAATTAATTACTTAGACCTTTTTATTGTCCATTGTTCATACTGATTTTTAACTGTAGCTCACAAGGCCCAGCACACCAGCACTGTTCAATAAACTTGAACAATATAACACTGATCACTTATTACTGAACTATGTTTATTTATTAAAGAATAATGCTTTGGTCTGCCACTAAATCACACATCATGCATCAATGCAAGTACATACGTATGGGTATTTTTGTTTACATAAAAATATCTTTGTGCAAATAATGGCAATTCAAACTGCCTCACTTTCTTCTATCACTATTTATAGAAAACAAATTCAACTTGTGAGGTTCAAGTGGACAGCTGCTTCATTGTATGAATGCTGTCCCAAAATGAAAATAAAAAAGAATGAAGAAAGCTTTGCAGGTGATTTTTTTTCTTTTTTCTTTTCAGCATGGAATTAATCTCATACAGTGCATACTGTATGTGCTTAAAGATTTTCCAAAGGGTGCTGAGATATGAGCAGTCTTTTTAAAGAGGACAGAATACTTAGTTCAGTTACAAAAAGAGGAGAAACTTAAAACACACATGAAAGAAAACAATACCTGAAGTTGCTTTGGTGTCTTCTTATCTGTTCCAAAAATAATAGGAGATTAAAAAAATCATAAGGTGACAACACAGGAAAGCTAGGAAAATTATGCTATCGTTTGTACAGATACAATGGTGTTATGGCATAAAACACTGATATGTAACTGTTACAATGCATTGCAACATTTTTATTTTAATGTACTTAAAAGCAGCTGAGAATTATAAAGGATTCAAAACTCGTGTGTTAAAGAATGATTAACAGTACTTTCATGCTTAAGTATAACTTTAATATAATACTTTTACAACACAAAAAATTGACTTAGGTAAAACTACAGTAGCTTTAAATGACCTTCAGCTGTGATCTCTGGATTGAGTAGTTTTTTGTAGTGGGACTGAATCATTCATTGAAAATAAATGACGATGTTTTCCTGAAGATAGACTACTGCAGCAATTCTAAACAAGTCAGCAGATGTCAGTGTTCCTCTAAAAATGTACTTAAGTTGCAGAAGGTCATTTTTGAGAGTTAAAATAATTCTTGCCACTAGGTGAAAGCAAATCACTCTTTATGGCTATTGATACTGCTTTTTAACATCAGGCTAAAAAAGTGGACAAAAGAATCTCTTTGCAGTCACAAATTATTTTTGTTAACATAGCATGATGATATTAACAAACACAGCAATTTTCCCTTTTCCTTACATAGCGTATGATGCAGGATTTAATATTCTTAAATATTTTTATTTTTCAAATGCAAGATGTTAAAGAGAAGGTAAGAGTGATCAAGAAAAAATTCAAATTAGCAGTATCTGTGTACTTCAGAATTTTCAGGCATGTCTTCTTAATGTGCTTCCATATTTTATTTAAAAAAAGCATGTGAATATTTTCAATAAAATACTGTATATACTATTACATGTCACCAAATACCAGATATAAAGTTGTACTACAGTATGTTACACACACACTGTATAAGGAATTCATTCATATCTGTGTTATTTTATTGTTTCAATCAATACTGGAAAATCTGGAAAGCACCTCTAAAAGCTCAAGACCTGGCTTTGACACTGATGTTGAAAAATCCTAAATACCAAAGGAATTAAAATATTTTTTTCATGGTAACATCATATAAAACCAAACACATAAATGACAGGAATTCCAGGCACGTACCACAATCTGGGGATAATTTACTGAGGGCAGCCTGCAGCAGGTTAACAACCTCTGCGTTCCCAGACAGCTTCGCATAGTGCAGCACATCATGGCCGAGCGTGTCCACCAGCCTGAGGTCAGCACCCTTCTGAATTAGGACCTCCACTGTGGGCAGACTGCTGCTCTCACTTGCTAGCATCACAGCTGTCCTGCACATTGGATGATCACAGAGAGGGTGAGATGTTATTCACAGTGACCTTTCATCTCAATAACGGTGTGCTTCCCACAGAACAATCCCAGCATAATGTCTCCATTTCCATGATTGCTGGTGGAAGGTCAGGGCATTAACCTAGCAAAGTATGACTCTCAGAGAACTGGGAGAAACATTAAGATTACAGTTAAACCCTAATAAGGAATGTGGAACCCTAATGTGTTGGACCTACAGCTGTTCTTCATAGTATTACTTGCTGAAAAGAAAAATATGGTAATTCACACAGACCTAGCATTTTAACGGGTTTAATCCATTACCTGGCAGCTAAGGTTAATTTGTCAAACCCTATTTAACAGTCAATTAGCATTGCCCCACAATTCATTTCTCAAAAATCATTCATAATTACCAAAAGCTTTCCCTTCACAATTTAACAAAACATTCCACAACCATTCAGACTGGTGATTACTAAATAATCTACATCTAATGTAGAAATCATTTTAAAACCCAAATGTCCTATTGATATAAAGTAAGAGATGTATTTCAAAATCTGGTCGAATCTGGTCACCCCCACGTAACAATACCGTACATAAAAAGCAGAACAATAAAAACCAAACCAAAAATTATAAAGCTGCCTCTGAAAACAAAGCAATAAAAAAGATAAAACAAAAAAGCTCAAATCTAAAAAAGGAGCTTTTCAGGACAGATTTAAAAACATCCCCTTGTCTTTTTTTTTTCAAACCTTAAGGGCATAAAATCAAAAGGCAACAAGAATCAGCTGAGTGAAGATCACATGGAGGGACATAGGTACATATTAGCTACTGTATATATAGTGCCTTGCAAACATGTTCGCACCATTTCTCATTAATGTTCCTTTTAAATGAAAATACAAATGAAAAACCATTTTAACTGAATAATTGTAATCAAAATTTGACTGCTGAAATTTTACACTTTTATGGATAAAAAAACTTGGATGTCAGTTACAGTAAATGTCAGCCAGCACTGTCATGTAGAGCTGTGAAAGCAACCTGGAGGACTTGAAATGAGACAAGAAGCCAGAGCAAGGACTCCAAGAAGGGAATAATCTTGGCACTTGATCTGGTCAGTGGATAATGTAATGTGGATAATAACGATAAAAAGAGAGAAAAAGTATAGAACAGAATTCATAGAGTATGTAGGGTGGTATTATATGTAATATTGTTTGGATGGACTGCTGAGAGTCCATATTGCTCCTCTGAAAACATATTAGAAATGCTCTTTATTAAGTGGATGGTAGTACAATACATATGGAATTACACTGGTTTAAATTTTGTAATCAGTTTACAATTTTGGCTTTATATAGTCCAAAGATTAGGAAATAGGCCGAATAGTCTATAAAAACAAGAACAAAGAAAGAAAATTCCAATCCTCTCTAAGAATGATGATGAATAACTTATGAGGCAAAACTAGAAAAGATCAGATTACATCCTATGTGAAGAAACTTGCTTCGCTGTCATGTGTCTAAAATTGAATTGGAAGGGAGAAGGAATAACAAGCTAACTCATAACCCCCTAGTACAGACCAAGGGAGACATTTGATCCGTCCTATGAGGGTTTTTCTCTACATGAATTATACAGAGAAACAAATCCCAGATGATTGCTTAAGTGCTTTCATCTACATGGGCATTCTTTTCACACCACATTTGGAGTTCTCCACAATATGTAATATACTGTATGTTACAAATTATGGCTTCAGCCTACTGCCAGTCAATGTATCCCATCTGTCCACCAGGCATGACTTCAGCTACACTGTAACCTGATACCTGTGTCTTTACTTGAAAGGGTCATCAGGATAATTGTGTGGGTTCCAGAAGGAAAACTGGCTGTGCTGCTGGAACAGATCTGCAAGCCGTGGTCTTGTTCAAGGGACAAAACCCAAGCTTGTCCACCTTCTACCTACTTGAAACCAGTTTAAAAACATAGATCACGGATGTTGTTGAACATGTCAAACAACACAAACATGAAAGTTAATGAGTCATTTCAAGAAAGTTAAGATGCACATATGAAAGAAAAATATTTTATTTTGAATTCTCACAACTTGCATTTTACTGAATATTTCATATTTAGTGGCAAATGCAATATTACCTTCCATTCTTGTCACATGTGTTGATATCAGCCCTGTGGTCTATCAGGCTCCTGCACACTTCAGTGTGAGCGTGTCTGGCAGACAGGAGGAGGGGTGTGCACCCATCCTGAGGGAAATCAAATAGTGAAAATACTGAACATCACATAATTCATTTACAAACATGCATCTCAATTGAAGACGAAAATCCCCTCGCATTACTCAAGACACAGCCTGTTCCCATAAACACTTACAAGCTCAAAACAAATGTCTGTAGTAAAAGTAATCAGGCCATAGACTGCAGAATTACATCCACGTTAAAGGTCTTACTGGGTATATAAAAAAAATAAAAGGTTCTTGAGCAATACTGTTCATTTTTGTTTTCAACCCCCTGGTTATGTTTTCACATTCAGTGGCACAATTCTGAAACTAGAAATATATTTTTCTGTCTCGAGTGACTTTGTGCTCATTAACACCACTTTAAAAAATACCGCGCTTAAGAGGTCATGACATTTTTCTTTGCATAATTTATAGCGCTTGAAGCTAAAACATATGTTATGACCTCTTAAGCACATGATAAGTCATTTGCACATGTCCCTTTAAGGTATTATACATGTGATTATAATGTCTTGTGTAGCAGTTCTGAAGGGATTATCAAGCCATTATGCTGCAACACTCAAATAAAGCAGTACTGTTTATTTTAGTAAAGGCATTTTTAGTTTCTGCTGACTGCCATGCCTCTTATTGCTTAGCTGGAACTGAATCATGTAAGAAATGGGAACCGTGACTCCACAGCATTGTAAGTGATTCCACAATGTAACAAGTCGCATTGTAATGAGGTGGCACTGTAAATAATTACATTTTTTTATTTGCTAGCTATGTTCAAGTTGAAGCCAGTTGTTGGAAAGCTTTTAAATAGCAATAATCTGGCATAAAAGTAAATGCCAGTGTTGTGCTTTCCTAGGAAAATAGTCATAAGAAGCTATTCTCCACCACAGAAAATACAAACATAAATTGCCACCATGGCGTCTTTCTAACACATGCTGTGTGTAAATCCCTTAATTCAACAAATTGCAACAATTTATAATGTTGGTGCTGTATGTGCCAGAGACTATTATTTAAAGTAATATGCTGTTTCTGGAGAATGTGTTTGTCTAGTGCCATTTCCAGGTTATTAGACAGAAAACATGTTCCATAGGTCAGACCAAATGTTTTCCAAATACATTCCAGACACCCAATGCCCTGCTCTCAGATGCATATTTAACAACTTAAATGTGTGTAGAATTCAAGTTTTCCAAAGTACCAGCAGACCAACTCTCGTTGCTAATGCCACTGCAGAAGGAGAAACGATGTGGGACATTTCAACAAATGGCACCTGGATTAAGGCTTTATATACAGTATACATGTGTTGGGCCTCTAGGTGACTTTTAAGTATTACCTATTAATCATTTATGTATTTACTTGTAACAGGGTCCAAATAAAGAATGTATAAGTACTTACAGTAGTCACAATTTTTTAGACTATTATACCTATTACATAAGGATACCTATTCCCACGTGTACCTGTATTAGGTGCTTGTTGGATGAATATAGAATTGGATTCTGAAATTCTGAAAAAAATAGAAACTTATATCAAGGACCAATAACCCAAAAAAGGTCTCTACTAATATTAATTAATCTTTCAATTAAGAATTAAGAATTAGCAAGCCACTCAGAGCAGTTTAGAAATATAAGTTACATTGCATTTTGTACTGCATTGAGACTGAGGATAGCTGTTTCTTACCAAAGGCTTAATATTAACAAGTAGTCATTAAGTCATGAATAATATTAATTTCAGAAGGAGATGTTCAAGGCCTTTTCATTATTCAATTAACAATTGATTCACTACTGGGGAAAGTGTAGCTATTCTACACAGCCTTATTCAGTGAGTATAACATGGTTAGAGTACCTACTGTAGCTGACAAATTAGTAATAAATACCTAATACAAATGTCTTAAAACTACATATGCCGGACGTATATACTGTATTGCAATGACCCTTCAGAGAAATATACTTGTCTTTCTGATAAAGGATGGATAGATGTGCTATTTGCATGGGTATGTATATTGAGTACAAATGTAACTTTAAAAATAATCTCAGTATCTCATTGCTTTTTCAAGTAACATAAAATAGCATCCATCTATCCATTCATCTTCTAACTCCTTCATCTAGTTCAGGGTCGCAGGAAGCTAGAGCCAGGCCTGGCAAGCATACAGTATAAAGATCTACAATACTAATCATTTGTAATCCTTGTGCATAAAGGCTCACTGTTACTAATAATTAACAAGGCCATCAAGACTCACGTGGTTCTCACACTGGAGTAACAAAGCCAACATGTGTTCCTTATATTGCCAAAAGATAGTTCAAATCATAATAAAGTGATCACTAATAAATGCAGAATGTAAAAAATATTGGTTCATTAAGGCTAAAGCCCTCACTGTACAGTTTGAAGAAACATTCCCAAATATAGCACACATTTCAACAGATAAAAATTGTGAATTATGGCTGTTGGCAAACTAGAATTACCCAAGTATTTGGACAAAGTTTTCATACCCCGTGGTGGAAAACACAGCATGGAAACATAACTATTTTTTCTCCTGTAAAACATTTTAGAACACATTACATTTATTTTTAATAACATTTTTACAATTTTTTATAATGTATATGCATATATTTTCAAATGGCATGTCAAACACTGGCAGAGAGAACTTTTCTTCTTTGAAACCAGGACTTTCAATGAATTCCAGATGTGCACTCTCCCACTGTCATGATTAACTGACAGAATTACTGGAATCACTGTCAAACGTGCAAGAGAACTATTCAAAACGCATCTGAAACCAAATGCAAGGGGAGTTAATAAAACTTGTTTTGTTGTAAAAGCTGACAGACTAATAGCTCGAAGATCTACATAATGGACTGTTTAAAAGCTCCTAAATTTAAACAGCAACACAACAACTTAATAGCTGTCATTCAACCATTTTGAGAGAAATCTGCTGACAGCAAAACTTTAAAGAATGTTTGGGAGAGAGAAAAAAACATCTCGAGAACGTTTTCGATTAATCGGTAAGAACGGAATAGAAAATATCAGTTTTAAGTCAGAGATAATAACTGTGATGTTTAATTCATACTATTGAATCATTGTAATACCCTGCAAAGAGACATCAGGATGCTGTCAAATAGCCAACGCCAAAGGTATTTAGTTTTAACTAGTATTGAGATGCATAATACTTTTGGCATAGAAATGGCACAGAAATGTATGCATTTTAATGTTCTGCATTCAAATGATTTTTTATGATACTGGTTTTGTTGTCTGCTCATCTTTACAGACCTCCTCCTTCTTTATATCGTTCCAGGATATTTCCAACATATATAAGGAACCACAGCTTTAAACCACTGAGCTCCCTGCCAGCCATACACTGTTCAGTTACAAGGAATGTTCTTTTTTAAATGCAATAATCCCTTTTTGAGCTTGGCTCCCCTAATCCTGCGGAGACCTACAGTGCTGTTACCATAAAACCCTCCGCAAGGCAGTGCCCTCTGCCATGGCTATGGGAAAGATGCCCCGCTTTAACAACCTCTCTCCTGCCAGGGCATAAAGAGGATTATCAGACCAGGCGGCACAGGCCTTCCTTGCCATCTGGACTGCAGCTCATTGGACAGGGAACCTGCCAATGACAGAGCTGTGACCTGACGCACATCTCTCTGCAGAAAGAAATGCCAAAAGGAAAAGCCCGGCATTAAATGCTCAAAGGCTTACATGTACGGTATATACTGATGCAGAACTACGACAAAGCACAGCAAAAAATACATGTACAATAGCTAACTGAATATACAGTAGCTTTACATACAGTACAGTTGATGACTATTTTAGCTTTTAAAACTGGATACTTAAAACCTTGAGGTCCAAGGTATCCCCAGGGCCTTTTCCTGTGCCACTTAAAAAATACATCCTGAAAGGCCACAAATACTTTTGTCTTGCTACAAAAATCCATGACTAGAAAGACAAGAAAAGTAAATTGGGTTTAGACTATGATTATTCTACACAGACTGGCCCTTCTGATATAGCATTTTGCCTTGTTTATATATAACTTGTGCTTTGTTGCACATGATATGGGAAATGTTCGGTCTGATTTTAATTTATTACCAAAGCAGCATCGCATGGTATTTCACTTGTTCTCCAAGGTAACAGTAAAGTGCACTGACATTAGAAAAAAAATGGTTCCCCAGATATTAAACAATGGTTTTAAAAGGACTGCATGATATGGACTGATTGTGATGAACTACAGTACTACTTTAAAGACTAAATGAATTAAATGAACTGATACAGACATGCATTGCAAGCAAGAGAACAACACTGCCCATATGAGGTAACTGATCCTTTAAGGACACTAAACACACTATACACATGCTATGACTTTAAGAGAGTGATACAGTATATGCAGACAGAACAGCAATTTATTTAATCGTCTGCTAGAAATAGGTTTAAACATCACAACAATCAATACATTGTTGGCAACGAGTACAGCCTATAGCCTCTCCAAAGCTGACGCTTACAAATAATGGTTCTGAAGGAAAAAGAAATAGCTTTAAGTCAAATGACTTTCACAGCAGTTTTGTCCTTTTAATAAATGCCATGAATGTTCAACTCTTTTAATCCATCACAGTTTTCCACGTAATAACTTTTAAAGGGTGATCGATTAGTAATAAGAACTCCAGCTTTATGAATTATGCTACAGTATATGCTCAACTATGATGACATCATTTTCCTTCAGTTCATAGATTATATTTCTTGCATTCAAGAACTTATACATTTATCATGAGGGATTCAAGACAAAAAACAGTTGACATAAACAACACTTCAGCGATATATTCTATCAATACAAAAGCATGTGAAACATAGCCTATCACTTTAAGAGATGCAAGATTCAAAGCTGAATAACAAGACTGAGAAAGCAGGCATGTTGAACATTGCAGCACACAAGCCCAAGCAAACCACAGACATAATTAGAAAATGCATAAACTTTGTGTCAGCTTAATTTGAAATGTAGCATATTTTTAAGAAGTTTTAATTGCATGTAGTTTTAGATCAACAAAAAGAACATATAATCACTATCTTAAAGGATAAGAAATGAACAAGAGAAGCTATGCAACTCATACTTGTGCTACTAAACTACCTAACAAACAGGACAGGCCTAATGCTCACCTCTTGTTTGCAATCGTTATTATGATTAACAGGTAAGAATTGCTTTTGACGCACAATAGCAAAACCTGCCTGCACATGATCTTGTGATGTTTAAGTTCCTACAATGTAACTGCACTTAATACATCCAATAAAATTATACATACCACATCTTTGATGTTTACAGGACACTTGTGCTCACACAGCAGTTGGACAATTGGTACACTTCCAATCGCAGCTGAAAAAGAATATTCCTTATTTTAGTGAATTTAAGTGGAACAAGGAAAAATAGACAATACAGTATATAGCAGTCACATTTTTAGATTTATTCCTCTTTAACCCTTGAGGATTCTGTCTTTAAGTAAAACAAATGGCTATTCAGGTTATCATTCCATTTAGAATCACGACACATAGCAGTTTGTGACACAGCCCTGCTGTGGAAAGCTGTGCCATTGCCTTTTTTTGTATCTCTTTATGGGGGCAGCAGTTTCTGGCAAAAAATAAACGAAAAGCAGAATTTTTATGGGTATGCTTTTTTACCACACCTTATTATTTTTAATTCTGCTCCCTGCAGTAGAGTTCAGCCATCCCAGAGGAAAGACTGTGTACTATATAATGAAATACACATGCACCCTGTTTAAGATCAATGATGAATCTATTTTAATTCCCAAACCCATGATCCTGAAAACAACACAGGCCAAGTAGACTGTTTTCAATCCAACAGCACACACAAGAGACTTACAGACGTTCTCCTATTCCTATGTGTCTTTTGGTCCACAGCCCTAAAGGTAGTAATTATTTTGGATAAAGGGAAAACAACATGCTTGTCTAAGGTAACTAAAATACATTTTACAAGGCAAGCACTTTTTGCAAAGACCGTTGGATTTTCT